ATATATATGGATAACAACGCTATCAAATTAACCCTTTTTAATATTAGTGATATGAAAGCATTTTCCATTGGAGTATTTCAATTTATATTTCTAATTTCTTACTCACGATGATAATGCAATAAAATGTATTAATTCTTCCTACACTTTCGAAATCCAAGATAATGCTTCTAATTATTAAGTCCCGCTTTATATGGCACCAAGTTGAAATCGTTCATCACATACATTCACATCACATATATTTTTGTAAATGGATAAATGAGCTTTGTGGGGGGTTATATAGATTATATATATATTTGACAGTTAGTAATTATAACATTTAATTGAATTTTCGGTTTCAAAATCACTTTATTATGTACCGCTCAAAAAGAGCAACCTAGTTTATGATATTTGCAACAATGAATAATATGTGAAGGTTATTCACATATTAAAACAAAGAGTCCAACGCGGGATTCAATCCCGGTTCATGGCTGTCGGGAATCAAAGGTGTTACCCACTCGTCCACCGACTATTCAATTGAATGTGTATGTCAATATTGTACTATTTTATGCATGACTTACTCTATTATTTAAAATGGCCCAAAAGTCACGATAATTTTATTGTTATTCTGAGTAATTGAGTAGAAATAAGAGCACAGATTATCACACACACACACAAGCCTTTTTATTGGGGCATCCAGCCCTATACATGATTCCCCTCTACAGGATTTAGCAAAGGAAGATATTTCAAAAGTAAAAACTAGAATACAAGAAGTAATAAGGAAAAAAGAAAAGAGAGAAGAAATAAAAAAAAAAAGAAATATAGCCATATATACAAAAAATAAACATACAGAGCAAAAGGAACCATACATGATTAAAATATGTCAAGGTTAGGATATCATTGAGAGGCTAGTGTGGAATTAGCCGCGTTCAATCTTCGCCTTCTTCCTCCAAGCAAACCACGACATTCGGCGAATCCAAGAGCACACATTATCAAAAATACATAGAGAAAACTTTAGAAAAAAAATGATAGAAATATTGATGAGGTTGAAGAAGGAGTGGTTTTATATAGATATATATTAAGTGAATAGGTAAGAGGAATATAGTGTGATTCATATCAACTTGTTAATCAGTTAATTCACATAATACTATTTATAAACATTTTTAATTAAAAAGGCATATATTGGATCAAAATATCATTTATTTTACTAATATTTCAGTTGGCTGAACGCCAACCTTTATCAAGGTGTTATAACATTTTAAAACACTTATAAAACAAATTTTAACACTTTAAAATGTTATAACACCTTGATAAAGGTTGGAGTTAAGCCAACTGAAATATTGGTTTAAAAAATGATACTTTGATCTAATATATGCCTTTTTATTTAAAGATTTATTTATGGATTGCTCTATTTTCAAAAATTTATAAACATGTTAATAAATAATGATAAATTTACATTCGTATAGTGGTTTTTATTTTTAGTTTTTGGCCAGAAACTTCAAAAAGGTTCAGGAAACAAGCCTACATTTTCATATTTCTTTTTCATTTGATATCATTCCTTCCTCTTTTACTTTTGCTTATCTCCATTTAATCATATTAAGTGTCAAGTATGTTGATCTTGAACTTTTTGATAGTGTTTGCTGGGGATGGGTAGAGCTCATTGAAGGATAAGTCTGTGAAGTTGGTAAAGTAGTTAGGTTAGCAATTGACATATATTAGGAAAACCTTGCAAGCTTGCATTTGTAAGGTCATCATCTGTATATGACATGACTTATGTTTAGAAATCAAGAACTGCTGTTTTCCGGAAAGACAATTGAAGCTTGTTCCCTCTGCTTTGTACCAGTCATGCGCTGCAGCATATATCCAACAACAACAACAACAAAAAAGCCTTTATTTAGGGTCACTGACCCTATACAGGATTCACCAGAGGTATGCATAAGAACAAAGCAGTGAGACAACGGAAATAGCGATATATACAGAGTAAAAAGAGAAAGAAAAAAAAAAAAAAACAAGAAAAGGAAAAAAATAATAATAATAAGAAAGAGGGAAGCAAGAAATCAACACAAAAAGAGTAGCAGTAAGAAAGTGAGGAGTGAGTATCACTTGGCCTTCTTCTGAGATATGGACTTGTGGAAACCATAAAACGCCGTAGCAATATACTTATTCTGGGTCATATTGTCAATTATTGATGGAAGTGAAGCACAGAGTTGCCCAGTTTTGAGCATAAGGGTTCTTCTTTCTTCTTTCAGAGCAGAGCAATCAAAAATATAGTGAGTGATTTCATTTTGTAGTTTTGAATTACAGAAGGTACAAGTCGGGTCCTCACCGCAGAGCATCTTGGTGTGGTTTTCTCTAAAAAAACTTGAAAGTATTCTAACTTGTGCGAGTAGTCTTACAACCGGGAAAGGAAAATCCCCTAAAAGGTATCCCTCCGTCATGAAAGATATGTGAATGTCTTTGTAGTGAGAGTATAGCTTAGATTTATCCATTCTTGTAAGGTCGTTTTGTTGCAGCATATATCCATTTTGTAGAACGACATTTGAAAATTATCCCGCATGTGTTTCTTTCGAACGAAAAATCGAAATTTAAGGAGAAATAACGATTATTTCTAACCTTAGGAATGAAGTATGAAAGGATGAAGTGTAGTGAGTAATGTTAAACGGAGAAATAAAAGTGTTCAGGGAGCCATTCCCATCCCTGGATCCTTTATTTTTCCGTTTATCATTACTCACTACACTTCAAATGTCGTTCTACAATCATAAGCCGCATTATATTGTATTATATAAATGGAAATTTTGCCGGAAGGAAATTGATCTAAAGAGACAAGGATCGCCTCTCCCGTCAAAATAGACGTCTAAAAACCAGACGCCATCTATTTGACCGTCGCCGCAACTAGCGGCCTCGGGTCGGTGACGAAGCCACAACACCAGCTTTGGCAAACTGAAAAGCGCCCACCTAGAGACCATGGTTTCGGGCTAATGGCCCTCGTCAGTCTAGGGCGGACTTTATTCCATGAGATCCACACGGGATCTAATGGAATCTTGACAATCTGCCAAAGAGGTGTTTAGCTGGCAAAGTGGCTGGGCCAAATCTTTGGCTAAAATATAGATGGAAATTTTGCCGGGAGTAAATTGATCTAAAGAGACAAGAGTCGCCTCTCCCGTCAAAATAGACGTCTAAAAACCAGACGCCATCTATTGACTGTCGCCGCAAATCTGGTGTTGTGGCTTTTGTCACCGACCCGAGGCCGCTAGTTGCGGCGACGGTCAATAGATGGCGTCTGGTTTTTAGACGTCTATTTTGACGGGAGAGGCGACCCTTGTCTCTTTATATTGTATTATATATCTATTTTGGTTGACATTGGACCCTTATAGTACAGAAGGGGTCTCTTTCATCTAGTAGAGTAGTAGCTTGTCTTGTCTCAGGGTGACCTCTGATTTGGTCAGAGAGTCTGTTAGTTAATTGGCAAGGAACTTATCATGAGCTGGAAGTCACAATGACCGAGTAGTCAGTTAAGAGTTTTTTTATTGATTTGGCAACGCTCTTGAGAAAGGGCTTTTGGCTGAAAAACATATTTAAAGAGTGTAAAATGGATTTTTTGAATGAGAATATATTGTTACGTTGTCGCTTTACAAAAAGAATAACTTCTGTGGGTATAAAATATCTTTAGGGCTTTATTTAAACATATTCAATAAAATAATTACAGAAGAATTCAAAAGAAAACAACGAAAAATATAGTAGTCGCAAACTCACCAACTGCAGCACAGATAAGGAAAACAGAAACAGAAGACAGAAGTTGGTAGAACCTTCTAGAATATTTTATGAAGTAGACCAGCCTGACCTCTTGAGACAACAGCTCACGCTTATTTGGAGCACACCACCTAGCTTCGCTCTTCTTCTTCTGCATGAGCTCCACCTCCCAATATATCCAGGAGTAGATCTCTCCAGAATACTCAAGGTCGGTTAGCCAATCAGAAAGCAGCGAACACTAAAATTTGCGCAATCAATTTAAATTGGCCAATCAGTTCTTCTCTCGATTGTTCTACATTATCCTAGAGCGTTCTAGAAATATTCTATTCTGGAATGCACTTTATATTCTACGCGTATCGCTATTATTATTTTACTAGATGATTGGATTTTGATGCTTTGAAAGCATTATCTTTTGCTGGAAATTCTGATTTGTAAACTAAATAGGTAAGATGCATTAATATGATTCATTAGAGCATCATCTTTTATAAGAAACTTAAGCTATTTTTGTGACGTGTATGATTATTTTTAAAATAAATCAATTTTCTATTTCCCTTACTGCAATAATAAAATAATATAAGGGCCTGGCTGGTGAACCCTTCCAGTGGTTTCGCCAGTTTAATCTACCATACCGCTGTGATATCGCAATTTGCTGTTTTCCTTTTATACTGACACTGAACCTAAACTCTTGGAAAAGGTATTTTGAATGAACTATGGACATAAACTTCAAGGACAGTAGGAATACATATAATGATAAATATATAATATGTGTCGAGCATTGCTCTTCCAATTTCAAGTTCAAAATCACATTAATAGGTACCGCTCAACAAGAGCAACCTAGTTCATGATAATTGAAACAGTGAATAATATATGTGAAGGTTATTCACATATTAAACAAAATTTTAACGCGGGATTCAATCCCGGTTCATGACTGTCGGGAATCGAGGGTGTTACCCACTCGTCCGCATTGCTCTTCCGCAAATTACAAGTAGAAGTATTTTTAAAACACAATATTAATATGAGGCATTAGCAATCAATTAAATGTTTTTAGGGTAAGGAAATTTTCAATAATTTTAGTGTAGTATTGAAATATCACTGCCAGACTGTCCATTTCAAATTTTGTTACCATCAGTTTGAATAGTGATGTCAAAGATAATCTGGACGCGAATGTTTCTTTTTAAACAAAAATCGAAATCTATTTTTTAAAGAGAAATAACGATTATTTCTAACTTTAAGGATGAATTGTGAAGAGTAATGACAAACGGAAAAATAAAAGTGTCCAGGGGCGGGAATCGAACCCACAACCTTCTGCTTACCGGGCAGGTCCCATGTCCACTAGGCTACCCTGGACGTAGCCTAGTGGACATGGCACCTGCCCGGTAAGCAGAAGGTTGTGGGTTCGATTCCCGCCCCTGGACACTTTTATTTTTCCGTTTGTCATTACTCTTCACAATTCATCCTATCATACTTCAACCTTAAAGTTAGAAATAATCGTTATTTCTCTTCAAAAAATAGATTTCGATTTTTGTTTAAAAGAAACATTCGCGGTATAATTGCAAATTTCGTTTTACAATCATCCGCCGTGTTATATTGTATTTTAAAAGCATATAAGTTTATTGCGAGTTCGGTATGGAGGTTAGAGAGCTTTGTGTTTTGGATTGATTTGGATATCTAAAATTATTAAATTTTAAGCCATATATAGAGGAGTAAGATGTTTAGTGTTTGATTTGAGTTCTCTCTCTCGAATTTCGAATAAAATTTCATGTAAGGTGGTATTTTTTGGAAGAATATATCTTTTAAATATGAATTTGAAGAGAGAGAAACAGATTTTCCTCTAGATGTATAGTGAAAGAAGCTTGTACTCTAGTTCTTCAATGTGCTTTGGGCATTATCCACATTGTCTGCTAATTATTTTGGATGCGCTGGCTTAAATTCTGTCAATTTTAATTGGTTGTTTTTTTATAATTTTAAGTATATTTTTGCTTCATGTATATATCACATGGTGTCGATATATATAAATATTTTTTATATTTAGAACTGAGTCAATTGTGACACCAGATTACCTCAGTGAGAATCTGAACTTTATATTGCTTAATTTTTGGGAATGATAATTGGAGTTCAGTGGCAAAGATAATTGTTAATTGTGAAAAGTCAAATTGATATTTGCTGATGTTAATAGATAGTGTTACCTTTGCAGATTTTTAAAAACCTTATTCAGAGAGTGTCATGCATAAAAAAGGTTTTTTTTGGAGACCTGGATGATTATATCATCTGCGTAAAGAGAAATTTTAGCTGGTGGCTTTATGGAGGTGCGTAAATTATTTTGATATATGTTGAATAAAATGGGGCTTAGGATTGACTCTTGGGTAAACCTTAGTAAAGTTTTGGTAATGTAATTATTGAAATTGACTTGTATGGTGCATTTAGATAGAAAGTTTATAATCCAATCCAGCATGCATACCTTCATCCTAAGTTTGTCGAGAGTTCTTTCCAGACTCTGTCAAAGGCTTGAGAGAGGTCAACTGAGTATGCAATAGTTTATTACGCTGGTGAATGGTGGAAATTATCCTGAACTTGTGAAAAAATGAAAGATTGATTATTTTGTACTTTAATATTTTAAAAAATCTCTTTGATGAGGGTGTCAAAAATTGACATCTGAGAAAATGTCAATCTATTGAGTAGTATGTTTTCCATACTTTTTCAAGGGATAGAAGCCAGATATAAGTTCAATAGTTGGCTGGGCAGCTCTCAAGCTTGCCTGGATGGTAAATGGGAATAATTGTAGCATGTTTCCAATCTTTAGGCAAGAGTAATCTCTCCAGCTGTTATTGGATATGTTTAAACGCTCTAGTTTGGTATAGGAGCGCTGAGATTTTTCAATATAGGTTTACTGATGTTGCCTAGACCATAAGCCTTGTAGGGTTGAGATGATTTATATAAATGATCCAAAAATTTATATATTGTGCATTAGAACAATGCCTTATTTTTTTCACCTCTAGTAAAATACATCACTAGTCTTCTTCTTCTTCTTTCTTATCTCCACTCAATCATATTAAAGTATCAAGCTTGTAAAGCTTGAGACCATCACTAATGGTGATATGGAATGAGTCATATCACCAGTGTTGGCAAATTCAGACAAAAACTAACTTGTATACCATGGTTTCATATTCTGGCCCTCATCAGCACAGAGAGGAAGCATCGATTTCATAACATCCTACGAGAAGAGGTATGAAATTGCTCGAATTTACCAAAAATTGGTTTGAGCTGGTGAAGTGGCAGGGCCGATTTTCAGGCTAGAATACAACATAAAGTTGAAGTAGGATGTATCATATTTATGTACTAATAAATATATATATATAAATTTTATACAGTTAATGATATAATCAACTGTTGTGGTCAATTATGGCTGAACCTCCCACCGAATTATGATACAATTAAAAAGAACTTCCTAAGATTATGAAAACAAAATAGAACAGCCTATTCAACAAGACTTCGCTAGAATCGACACTTCGAAATTTTTTTCAGACTATAAACTTCTCTGTAATTCATTTATGCCAGAACTATATTTGTCATGGAATCTGTCATCCAAGATAATAGCCTTCACTTTACTTCAACTCTAGATAGAGAAATTCATATTCTCATCATCAAAAAGGAAAACATTCACTGCAGGATTTGTAAAAATATGATATCTGATGAAATCTCCCACTATATCATAGAATGCCAATATTTAGGTGAAGAAAGAGAAAAAACTCTCAAAAACACATTTTGGAAATTTAGCAACCCACTGAAGACGCTGAGAACTATTTCAGAAAAGAAAAATATAGCAATAGAACTATAATTTCTACAGATCAATTGTAAATAGATTCATAAACAAAAGAGGTAGTGAGGAAAGTTTTAGAACAGATGTGTAAATAAATCCCCTTTCAAACAAAGGTTCAGGTGCACATGGGGAAAGGGAGGAAAAAAATTACTGTATTATTTTGTTGTTGTATGGCGAATCCACACAGGGCAATGGGCTCTAATAAAAGCCTTTTTGTTGTTGTTATATACATTTTATAAATATACTAGCGGATGTACCCAAATAAAGGTTTGTCTAAAGAACATTTGTTAAAACAATTCTCTATAAACTTATAAAAAAAAGATATATTTTGATAATTTGAAACTCGTAAATTTGAATCTCTCGATAAAGTGAACATTTTTTCCAGGTCCCTGTGTGCCGTGTCATCCTGAATTTTGTCTTTCCTAATTTTCTACATTACAAAATCATCGTTTTATCTAGTGAACATTTTTTCCCCGTCCCTTGAAAAATACTCTATAAGTTTAATAAAATTAATATTAATTGGTTCCCTCGGTAATTGGAGGTTAAAGGAATAGTATCTTGCCTTGTAATTGTATCATTATTCTTGTATGGATGTACCCGGCTTCGCCCGGGAATCTCTCGATAAAGTGAACATTTTTTCCAGTCCCTTTAAAAATACTCGATAAGTTGAATAAAATCAATATTAATTGGTTCCCTCGGTAATTGGAAGTTAAAGGAATAGTATCTTGCCTTGGAATTGTATCATTATTCTTGTCTCAAATAAATTGCCGTTTCATCCTGAATTTTGTCTTTCCTAATTTTCTACATTACAAAATCATCGTATCATCATGATAATATTTAGAGCAGATTGTTGAATTATAACAGATAAATTAGAATATTTATCTTGATTATTTTCAGGCGAAAAGTTATTTCAAAAATTTTATTTGCTAGAAACCTTCCCAGTACTATACGAAATAACTTCCCAAAGTTTCATGGCGTTCCAATGAGTGGTTTGGTCAGGCATAAAGGACAGACAAACATACATTCATTTATATATATATATATATATATATATATATATATATAGATAAACGTTGGAATTTTCATTTATAGAGATATTTATTCTCAAAATAATATATTTAGTCAAACTGTAAAAAAAAATCAGGTCAACATATTAAATTTAAATAGAGCTTAATGCCCTGTAAACATGTTGTTTTTAAAATACTTAATTCGTGCCAAATATAGTTGCTTATTTCTATCCATTCAATTAGGATATCAAAGTTTTTTTTCGCGTAATAATAGCTTGCAATACATTGAGGGCACAAATCATTGCATTTTTATTTAAATAGATGGAATATATATATTACTTTGAAACTTATATGTGAGCAATTTGAGAATAAAAAAGCCATATTCAAAATATTCCCATAATATATTTAATTTCAAACATCATTCAAACTCTATTTTTATTTATCTTATATATTTCTAAATTTAAAATATTTATTCTTAAACATTTTTTTTTATTAAAAAGAAATATATTCATTGAAGGCAACTCTGAGGATTATCATCACCCTTCTAAAACGTGGTTCTATTCTAAATGTTTCACCAACGTCTTCTTTTTCATTTTAATTTTTACAATAAAATATTAACAAAATATGGGTAAGTTTTCATTTAGCCTAATTGAATTGTAAAATTCTAACTAAAGAGAGAAGAACGCTAATTGAATATTATACCAATATAAATACATCTAAACTATCTATTTTAAGAATATTTTAAAAACTTATATAAATTTAAATAATAAATAATTTTATTTATATATATAATCTATCTATCTATATATATATATATATTGTTATTCGTTTCCAGTTGTGGCTATTTATTAGGGTAAGAAGCCAGACTTTAATATCAAGAATTGAAAATGACCAATTTTCTGATATTATATTTTATTCAAAATCATGTACAAAAATTCATTCCTGGCGCTTTTTAGAAGTTTTTTTTTTTTTTTAATCTAAAGGTTCTGCCAAAAAACATTTTTGATTCCAATTTTGCTTATGCACATTTAAAAAAAAATGGTAAATAGCATTTTTAGAAGGCATGTTAGGCCTAATTATGTCCTAAAATGTCCAAAATCATTAAGGACTGCATAATACAGAACCTAAATATTTTTATACATTTCATCAAAGTATGCACAAATTTATACAATTCAAACTGAATAAAAGACCACAGAAAAATTCAAATTGGTACTTATTTTCCTAACCCTAATTTAGTATATTCTAAGCCTATATGAGGTTCAATTAGGTTGGGGTTTGTAAATCAACAACCTAATCCATAGAACCAATCCAAAATAGAAAATATAAATATAATTTGGGAAATGTGGTGGTGGTCCCTGGATCAGTTCCTATCTTCCCTAAGAATTTAGAATCTAAAACTAGGTAGCTTCAAGTTAGGGTTAGTAAATTTAGGAACACTTTTGATAGGCTAATTGAAGCATTTATCAATTATTATAACATTCTGGTGACATTAATTTCATTAGAAATTTAGTTGTATTAGTTTTTTAAATATTAAAAATTCAAAGACCTTGCAGATTTATATTTTTTCAACCATGTTCTCTATCCAGGTAT